TTGAAATGATTGTTATATTAGACAACCTAGCTATAATCTTATTGTTATTGGTAATATATTATTATTAATTTTCTTATCTTCCCTCAAGATTTTTTAGTAATAGTTTTTAAAATAATTTATTTTTAATATGGTGTTACCAAAGAAAAAAATGCTCATAAATGTTTCAATATAGAAATTATTTAATGAGACTAAAATGCCATTGAAATATTATGTAATTCCAGAGAATTCATGATGGGTGTGTCTATTTTTTTTGGTCGGCTTGGAAAATTACATCAATACCCAACGAGTGGAAATTATAACGAAGAGGGAGGAAACAACATAAGGCAAGGGTTCGAACACATAACTTACCGCTTTGATACCATCTTAAGGATGAATAAACCATCAATCAACCCAAAAGCTTAAGCTGATGAGTTGGGTAAATTTAATTCATTTATATGGATTCTAACGTCTTTCTTATTTATTTCCTGGCAATCGTGTTGCATTTTTACTACCAGGTTTCTTTGATCATTTTATGTCTCGACTCCAGACGGTGGGATCCAATTTTTTCTTGTGAAATATTTGTGAAAAAGAAGAAAAAAAAAGTTATGAATTAGCAGACCATGTGATGGAAAATGAAACTTTGCGAAGAAGTTGTCACCAAATGTTAAAGCAAAGACTTGGTGAAGATGAACAAGTGCTGCTCTCCATTGGACAAAACTTCAGAAAAAGAAAAGGCTGCCTTGTTTTTTGTCTTGTATTAGTCATTTTGGTGACTAATCGTGTGTCATCCCCTCTCAAAACTTTTCATAAATAATGTTTCCGACATTTACCAATTAACAACTAAGATTCCTTACTATTCTAGAAAATTGAAAGTGATCTATTAGTAGGAGGAAAAAAATAATGTCGAGATACTTTCATTTTAATGATTTTTCAAACGAAAACTTAGCGGGAGCAAGAAATCGCAATAATTATTCAAGTTTGAGGTAAGAGATTGCAACACTTGTCTGAATTTAAGTAAAATCGGACGAAATTACAATTTACCTACCTTATCAAGTCCAAGAGTAAAAACTGAATTTGGGAAGTGTTTGATGGTATTTTTGTTTTAGGTTTAAAAAAAAATAGCTTTTTAAAATTGCAGTTTGGAACTTTAAAGAATAGCGGTTTTCATTTTCTGTAAAGATCATATATTAGATTTTATATATTGATTATATAACAAATTCTTAGGGCATTGATATTGACTCTTTTGAAAGAAAACCATGCAAAAATTATCACGTGAACAGAAATAGAGTACAATTATTGATATATTACCTTTGCAAAATAAAACAAATTATTGACAATATTCATTATGGTCCTATTAAGCTTTTTCTTTCTTTTATTTTTATTTTTACCATACCAGTGCCAATTGATGTATGAATTCCTGCACAAAGATTCTTTTAGTACCAGATGTGAAGGTGAGGATTCGAACTTACGATCTTTTAATTAGAGATAGGTACTTTAAACACTTGAGCTATATTTAGATAGACAATTCTTATATATAAGGTTGAAATTGAAAGACACGGGATTAATTACTTGCTTTATGAATAAAAAAAGTTTATCAAAAGTGAAAAAAAGGTCTCCACATGTAAAACAAATGTTAAATTGTTAAATTGGGTGTATGCATGTGTCTTTGGAGAGACTGTAATTACATTTTAATAGTAAGTGTAAATTTTATTGATTATAAGTTCATGTGATATTATTTATATTGATTTTAATGCTGAAGGCGATCTAAGCTATATATACAAGGTATAACAATTAAATTGTTATATATTGTAGAGTTTAAATGGTAAGACTTCCAAGTATAATATGTAAAAAAAAAAAGAGTAAAATTTATTCCTTTTATTTATTCTTAATAATCTAATTTGTGACTTCAAGATTTGAAAAAGATATATTTGTTTTCAAAGCCCATTTCTATAGGTTTTTTTAATACAACATGTAGAGGTGAGAATATGTCAAAAAAAAAAAAAGAAAAAAAGAGTAAAATTTAATCTTTTTATTTATTCTTAATAATCTAATTTGTGAATTCAAGATTTAAAATATATATATATTTGTGCTCAAAGCCCATTTCTATAGGTTTGGTTTTTTTTAGTACAACATGTACAGGTGAAGATTCGAACTCACGACCTCATGATCGGATACAGGTATCTTAATCCGCTGAGCTATACTCTAGTTGGCCCCATTTCTATAGTTGGATGACCAAGGTTTAGAACTTACTTATTAGATATTAAAACTTCAATCTAAGAAATTGAACTCCTATTATAAAATTCATAAATAAAATCAATACCAAATATTTCTAAGGTTAACTTTCTAAAAATCATAGGTTCATATATACAAATTAGTTACCAGAAAGAAAAACACACAATATATACTTTTTTTTGGTCTAAGACGCTCAATAATCAAATTAATTAACTTTTCAAAATTTTAAAATAATTTGAAACTTTTTTTTTTGTTTTTAGTACAATCTTGAGGGGTATGTTAAGGATCCCATTTTTGATCTGCTGACAAAATCCTCCTCTAAGATTGACATTAAGTTGAGCTGATCGTGTATAATTATTTTGGTTTTTTTAAGTACAATATGTTGGGGAGAAGATTCAAACTCACACCCTCTTAGTTGAAGACATATGCTAATTACTGCGAGCTATGTTCGCTTTGACTTTTCTACTTGACTTCTCTTGATTAACCAATAATAATAATAACATAATTCGAGAAATGATTGAAGAACTTAATGGACTTATATCGAAGGTCCAACTCGATTCACGACGTTACATATGATTAATTTTGAGTTTAGAGAGAGAGAAGCATTAGTTTTTCAATCAAACAAGATTAAAACCAAAGTGGGCATTAATGGTTCTTGGTTTTATTCCTCGTCATGTCAATTAATTGCAATAAGCAAAATTGTACCTTGGATCAATTTTGTGATAGATTTTTGTTTAGTTATCCACACACACATATGTGGATGTATATATATGGATCTCTGCTTCCCGGAAACAATATTATTTTTTGTGTCATTATCTTTATTTCTACATTTATCGAGGGGCACTTTTACTTGAAATAGTTCAATGAGTTTAGGCACCTATGTTTTAACTTGATGATCCTTTACTCCATCGGCATCTAAGGTTCTTCAATGTGATATCTCACACCGGGTAAATCTTTAACCTTTTTCCCTTCACTAAGACTACGTAATGTTCTTGTAAACTATGGTCAATACTTGATACATAAACAATGATTTCAAATTCAGAGGTTAAGTGTACTCTCTAGCAACTTTACACATAAGGCAGAGTTTAGTTTTTCGGGGTCGGTCGTGAATTTGAATCTCCTCACCTCGATGGTACTAAAAAAAATCAATTGAGTTAAGTTCAAATCGACAGTTATCCGTTTGATGTTTATCTATATTTTGTAATACAATTTAGAGATTTTTTTCCCTCTCACGCTCTCGTTAGGAGACTAGCGTTGGGTTTTTCTTCCAAATACAATAACTCATTTCGTCAATTTTTCATATCTTTGATTCCCATTTTAACTCTACTTTCGTTTTGGGATGCAAAACCCCAAAAAAATTTGTGCCAAAAAGCTTGACAAATCTCACCAAACTTGTACCACAAACTTCACAATAATTAATTAACTAGGTCGATTGGATGTATGTCAATATGGGATCGTGCCAAATTATTTGGGGAAATTAGTTAATTATTAATTATAGAAGGATTAGAAAATTTAGGGTACTAATTTAGACAAGTTCATATTGATGGTGTGGGTTAAATTTCACCAATAAAGCAATTATTCCAATGGTGTGTATCTAATTATATGTTAATTCTTTATTCTACTTTCACTAAACTTAATATTCATTGAACAAATTATGATATGGCATTAGATGTTTTTTTAGTACAACAATATGGAATAAGGTATTTTGCTAATTTCATATAAATCGGAAGTTCAATCCCTGTCCTCATGTCCTCATATTTATTGTACTAAAAAAATAATTAAAAAAAAAACAAAAATACATTCCCACATCCCCACCATTTGACACGAGTCTCATAATGCAGTGTTGGGTGGACGTCGACACCCCCAATTTAGGTATCTAACAAGCGGAAGTCACACGGTATCAATTTCAAAATATAAAAATTAAAATTAAAAACGAAAATAAACCAAAGTCGAGAAGCAGAAGATATGAAAATAATATTTAAACCAATACCATTTTTAAAAAGTGATTTAAGACTAAAGAGTCATTAATCATTGTAAGAATGCTTTAGAAAAGTTGACAATCAAATGTACGGAACTAATAATTCATATTCTATTCCATAATGATGGTCCTAATTATACATGTAGGGTTGAAATTATACATTTTCGAGAGAGAGAATGATTTGTTTTGAGCCGTTGGATCTTTCTCTTATGATCACAATCAGACAATACATCCCTTTCCATGTTTGATTTTGAGGGACTTGATTATTAAAGAATTAATACAAATATTATCTTCTAAATTTCTTACCATGTAAGTTTATTCTGAGTTTCAGCCAAACTCAATCTTCATCGCATGACAAATCATGTTTAAAAAAATTAAATTAAAGAAACATCTGAATCGTTGCATCTAAGAATCATGGGATACAGATTCAAGTTTCGTAATATCTCATGCATCCATCTAACCGTCTAAAATAACCAACTATATCATTTGAATCTCGTTCAAATAATATCTCTCGAACATTAAGACTAAAATATATATTCAACCTAATTCTAAGGGGTTGGGAGGGAAGATAAGTTCAAAGGTGGGTCCGACGGAGAGGGCCATATGAGTGCCACGTGGACACGTGGGGCCAACCCCCCTCTCCCAACCATGGCACAGAGGTCTTAAAACACAGCTTTTAGGCCATTCCTATAAACCCTAAAAGTGGCCCACCACCTTACACTTTCCCTCCCACATTAAATTCATAACCCCCCTTCCCCCTCTCTCACACATTCNTTTTTTTCAACTTTTTCTCTCTCTAAAAACAACCCTTTAGAGAGAGATATTGAGCCATAGGCTGCTGCTGTTGCAGTTGCATAAGCTTCTAGAGAGAGAGAGAGAGGATATGGGGCACCATTCTTGCTGTAACAAACAGAAAGTGAAGAGAGGCCTGTGGTCTCCTGAGGAAGATGAGAAGCTTGTCAATTACATTTCCACTTATGGCCATGGCTGTTGGAGCTCTGTCCCCAAGCTCGCGGGTGAGTGGCGATTGTTTTCTCTTTTCTCGTCGAATCATTGCTCACTCAAAAGCTTAAGTTGATGGATCACCGTGAATTTAATCTTTTGTTCTTATTCGGTGGGTTTGAGATCAAGTTAACCACAAATCACGATTCATATGTATTAACGAATGAGAATACTATACCTAAAAGTTTAAGAGGATGAGTTACGATAAGTTAATATTCATGTTCACGTTTTTTTTAATATTTTTTCTCTATTGGGTTTTTGTTTTACAACTTTCTTTTGTTGTTTTACAGTTGAAAATTCAAAGTTGGAAAAGCTTTCTGTTTTTTTCCCATTTTAGCTGGTTATGTTTTGTTTTGTCGTAATACAACATGTTTTGTTTCATATGTGGGTGCTGCTCACGCGGTCGAGACATTATCTTTAATTTCTTTCTTCTTCTACGTTTAACTGCATTGTTTCACTCTCTCGAATAATTAATTTCTTCGGACTTTTCAGGCCTGCAGCGATGCGGCAAAAGTTGCAGACTGAGATGGATAAATTATCTGAGACCCGACCTCAAACGAGGGAGTTTCTCTCACCAAGAAGCTGCCCTAATTGTTCAACTCCATAGTATTCTTGGTAACAGGTACATTTCTTTTACTATCTAATTTGTTTTGTTTTTCCTTTTTTCTTCTTTCATCTAATTTAGTTGTTTTGCTACAGATGGGCTCAGATAGCAAAGCAACTACCGGGACGAACGGATAATGAGGTGAAGAATTTTTGGAATTCAAACATAAAAAAGAAGCTCATTTCTCCTGAGGTTTCAGCCTTGGCAACACTTTCTGGTCATCTCCAAAACCCTAATTCTCCCAATAATGAGGGCTTCTTCATTCTCAATGCAAACCCTAATTTGATTCTTGCAACTTCTGGCCACCAGGACCAGCCATGTCTTTCAAATTCAACTACTCCACCTTCTTTGCTTCAAGGGTTTGATCTCATTGATTATAAACTTGACCAATTTACCAATAATCTCAATCCAAATGGGAGTTTTCTTCATTTGCTACCTTCCGTTTCTCCCCCATCAAACTTCTTCCCCCATGACCCCACAATGTGGCCCCCGTCCGCCGGATATCAACCCGTCACGGGCGGGGAGTTTGTCGTTCCGAGCACCGTGTTACCGCAATACATCGACGGTTCGTTTCTGCACCCCACAACGATGCCAAAATTATGCGAGGTTGGTGACGAAAATCTTTGCTTAGTTCAACAAACCTCTGCTCCTTTAAACCAGGTTGATCCAACAACAGCCAAACTATCAACCTTTGCAATTGGCTACTCTCCACAAGATCAATGCTTGGCAGCCAACCAAATGGCAATGGAGCAAATCGACGCAATCATGTCGTCGATCTTGCAGAACCAGTCGTGCTCGTCGTTGTCGTTGGGGTCATCGGGATTATCGAGCGGTCAGCTTGCGACACACCCCGATCTTGTTTCGTTGAGCTGGGGAGCATAGGGTTTATATAGTAGGTATGTAGTATATGTATGAGTCTGACTAAATAATAATTTGAAAGAGTGCAATTGTTTTGAGTGCTACATATATATATATATATGGTTTGAGAAGGTAAGAGCTAGTCCATAAGAAAAAACCTAAAAGTTGCTAGTTCAGGTTCTTTAGTAAGTAATGCTTGCTCAAGTTCCATAAATACATAGCCCTATTTATTTCACATGCCTCCTTCAAATTCCTCAAATATATTTTCGTATACTATGTTATATTCCTCTCCTACATTCCCAAGTATGTCCTATATTTGTATGCCTACCCTTTCTCTCTCTTACTCTCTCTCTCTCTCTCCTCTCTCAACATTAAAGTGTAATGGAAAAAAGTTGACTACACGAAAGACAAAAGACAAAATGAAAAATAGGCTATGCATTAGAAGCTCTTATTTAGCCGTGTAGCTAGATTATGTTAGTTGATCATGATTAAAATTTTCGATAGAAAATCCAGTGTTTCTTAGTTGTGAATGTCTGAATAGGACAAACCGTCCTATGTTTTCTTTGAAACAAAATAATTAGAATTAGTGTACTTGTTTTTACTGTCTATTCACAGACATTACATTATTGTACCAAATCAACTGACACATGTTTAGTAAATGTATCATGTCATTGTTTAATTAACACAAATTTTCTTTAAAGTCACAATTAACCTAATTGAATTTTAAAAATTTTAGAAACGAACTTTTATAATTTAATCCAAAAAACTATTAATGTAATAAAACTAGTGGAATAGAATAGTACAAAATGAAGAGGGTAGGCGTCAGAATAGTATTGGAGGCAAATCATATATAGTAAAACTTAGGACTTCGTGATGTTTAAATTGGCATTTTTATAAGGAAAAAAAAAGGCATTTTCTAAGCATATTGTCAAGTCAAAAGGGTCTTTTTCTTAGAATAAATCTAAAATTTAAAACTTAAAAATAGAAAATAGAAAATTGGTTTGCCGCCATTGCTGCCCCTCGATAAAGTTGTTTAAAATGTGTTTTTGAAGAAAGTGCTGTGTAAAGAATCAAAATTGAAGCTTCAATTCCAATCAAAACTTTTTCATCAACTGAATTTGAATTTGAAACCATCTAATAATATTTTTTTTACACAAATATAGTAATTAAGTATTTTAAGTAATTTTCAACACTTTGAAAATTAAGAAGCCATAGATATAAAAGATGCAGCACTTTTTGAAAACTAAGAATACATTGGACTTTTTTAAAAATTAAAAAACGGACGACATTTTTTAAATTAAAATATAGATGACACTTTTTAACGGGTGCATTTTTACTTGAGAAAATAGATGATAACTTCTGAGTTTTTAATTTAAGAAAAATAGAATAGAATAGTTAAAAAAATGAATTAAACTTTAAAGATAAAGATTGATACCTAAATCAGAGATTAAATTATGCTTTTGTCAAAATTAATGTGGTAGCTATTCTACGATTAATTATTTAATTAATGAATAATGTGATCTCCAATATCCATATCTAGAATAACATGTTAATATCAAAACTAATATTCTTTTCACCTAATATCTACGTTGGACTCCACGTCAATGGCAAAATAAAGATAATAGAATCAAAATAGAAAAACACTTCGGGTCACTGCAACTTTCACTGAAGTAAGAATTTAATCCGATCTAGAAGTTGTACATATAAATTGATAACAATTTAGCTGCAATTTTAAACTATAGGACTAGTTACATACTAAAATTCAAGAACTAAATTGTAATCAAATTGAAAGTATATTGACTAAATTGTTATAAATTAAAGTTTAGAGACTAAATCAATACTTCAACAAAAATATTGGAAGATTTTTTTTTTTTTTTTTGAAATATTACATATCGACTATTAAAAGCCGGAATAAAATTGAGGTTGTGTCCCATTTATAGTGCCTCAGTTTGGGCTGCATGTATTTATGGCAACTGCATACTCCAGGGTCCTAAGAATAGGCACTGAACTTGATATAGCTCCATTACCATTTACCAATGATTTCAACTTTTAATGTCTAATAATAATTTTCAAGCATGTGGACATACCTTGTAAACTCCTTTTTGCAAAGCTTGACCTTTGGAAATGCAACACCCCACTCTAATTCCACCATCTTAATAGCTTCTACAGCTGAAAGTAACTAAAATTCATATAAATGAGACTTTAAACCCAGCAAGAATTCAGATATGTCAAATGATTTTAGTCTTAAAATGGCTTAAATTAAGTCCTCTCATCCCATCTTGTTCCTTTTTGCACCTTTCACAGACTTCTGTTCAGTTTCTCTGAAGCATCATCAGCCACTATGAACCCAAATTACACTGTTTTCTAGCCAAGTTATGAAAGAATTAAGAAACATAAAAGTAACTGAAACTTCAATATGGAACAGAAACTGGCTTAAGGCATGGTAATTATTTAAAAAGGTAAGTGTATACAGACAGTGTTCGAGGCCTAAGGAGATGACTGACAATAATGGTGGATATTCAGCCAGCCTAGTCCATGAAAAACTAACATAACCTACACAAGATTTTGGCAGGGCAATTCAAATAGACCTGACTTGAGATAAACATTATGCAGTTACTCTTGATCGGCCCTTTGCAATCCTTCGAGAAATAACTTTCCGTCCACCCTTGGTTGCTTTGCTGCTCAAAGGAGAAAAAGTGGTTTTTAATACAACATTTTGAAATGAGTAATTGCATTTTGAGATGACATTACAAACAAACTTTTCGCTTATAAACTAGTCTTGCCAACCGATTTTTCCTACTCCAAAGGCTACAAAAAAAGATATAATAATCTCTTGTTGTCCACCATTATATTTTTTACAAGAAAAGATGAAGGTAGAAATGGAGAGAGAAGAGAGATTTTTCTTCAAAAAAAAAAAATAATAATAATAATAAATAGTTGTCAAAATTTTAGTTGTAGTCAGTAGAAATCGGGTCTGCAGGTAAGTAATATTCACAAAACAATGCAGATAGGCTAGTTAAGTATTAAGGAAGCTGGACAACATATGAAGCTATTTATTTTTCCGTGAGCCCATGCTCAACCTCTCAAGTGAGCGTGGTTCAGAGGCGAGAGCAGTGAAATTTAGTTGATTAAGCCAACCTAATTTCAAGAATGGCTAAATTTAATGTTTGAAACAACTGAACCATAAAACTCCACTAGGCATAACAAAGCAACATTATTCCTAGATCATAAATTCTCCTTCGTAAAAACATTACATATAAAATATACATGCCGAAGCATGCAGAAAAGGCAGTGGAGAAATACCGGGCAAAAAATCCATGATTCCTCTTTCGCCTGATGATGCTAGGTTGAAAAGTCCTTTTAGGAAATAGGAGCATTGGTTCTTGGGACGAAGAAGCATCTCCTGCAGAAAGAAAAAAAATTTGTGCCGTACTTTTACAAAAATAATAATACAAGAATTAATCGTAGGTTAAATTATCATCTAATTATCTACAAAGGTTTATTTAATGAAGAGATCCATATACCAAGACTAGGCAGCCAGCCACAGGAAGTCAGAATTTTTACTAACTATTTAAAACAAGTTTTTCTTTATTCAGGATGCTAAACTTGCAGTGCGGGCTATCGAGAATGCTTAGAAAGGTTTCTTTTAAGAAGGCCGAAAATGAGAGCTTTGGCACCTGACACCTCCCCTCTTGAGCAGCTCAAACTTAAACAATCACAAAAACACCTTTCCTCTTGGAATAAAACTTTCTTTTCTAAAATAAGGAGACTCACTCTTATCCAGTCTGCCTTAAGGGGTATTCCAACTACTTCCTCTCCCTGTTTAAAATCCCAGTGTCGGTGAGCAATAGAATTGAAAAGATCATGAGCTATTTCCTGTGGGAAGGGGTGGATGAGGGGGTGGTCTCATTTAGTTAGATGGAGATTATCTCGAGGCTTTTGGAGTTGGGAGGGTCCAGGTATTGGTAGCCTAAGTCACTGCAATGGGATGTTGTAGGATAGATGGTTATGACAATTCTTTCAGGAGGCTAATGCTTTGTGGAACAGGATTATTGTTAGTAAACATGGGACGCACCCTATGCATTTTCAACTGACAAGCTTTTCACATGATATTTGCTACAACCAAAGTCAGATCCTTACAGGATAAGTATATAGACACCCCTATGCATTTTCACAGTAATGAGAAAATGCTGGCAGAAAATTATCTTCACGATCAACAGGGAGACTAATTGAGAGGGTATCCCTGAAGCTTGGGTGATTGGCCGATAGTTTAGGCGCCCTAAAAATTTCCTCTTGGCCTCAAGAGGGGCAAAACATTTGGGTATTAAGAACACTTGACAATCCCACTTTCACTTGGACACAAAACTTATGATTATTCATTATATAAGGCAATCAGTTGAAATTTGAAACTACCACAAGAAGATGCAGCATAGAAAACATTGCTTTTTGGTAGTTTAATCATTGATAGAGCAAGTTTCCACACTTCACACCTCACAACCAGAAAAATACATTGTTTAGAACATAGACCCCTGATGCTGCCATAGCATTATTTATGTACCTCAAGTAGTTGGGATATATATGTTTAGAACATAGACCGCTGATGCTACCATAGCATTATTTCTGTACCTCAAGTAGTTGGGATCTATCAAGTATCACCATATACCTTTCTTTCAAAACTTCTGATTTCGTTTGGTTAATAATACCATAGCATCTGTGAATGCTGTCTGATAATGACTGCCTTTGCAAATATAAGATGTAAACATAGGAAAACAGAGTACATTAGGGTGGAGATCACCCTCCCCTAAGGACTAAACAATCATTGCTTTCCAATCATTCACAGTCATTTATAGGTTATGGTTACAAAAGAATTTCTTGTGGTTTGTGGTCCACCAAGAAGCTAAATTTTGTACATTCATGCAAAAAGAATTCATGAAAGGGAAAAATAAGATAGGATCAGATCATCCAGCCAATTATATCCTGCAGGGACTCAATCATATATGATTGTCATTTGCTATCTCTGTCTATATCTTCATATTCTTGCATTATCACAGTTCAAGCCCTTGAGACGCCCCTTAAACTATGAAAAACTAAATTCAATATTAATGTGAATTTATAGCTTATCATAGGCCCCTTCCCAAAGAACATACAAGCAAACTTGCCTTTAAGTATCTTATATATATAGGAGTAGTTTTGCTGTAAACAGCATAATAGAACAGAACATGACGCCATTTAATAATCAATGGGTGCAAACAAAATGGTAAATGAAAAAGACATCAACTTACCATCCATGCTTCGTTGGCTCCTCTAAGAAATTAAATTCAAGTCACTATCATTTATCAAATTGCATACAAAACGAGGCCTCTACATTTTTCGTCCTCAAATTGATTATTAGAATAAGTTACTTTAAGCTCATAAAAATATTAATCCGTTGCAGAAATCGCACACTCTTATGATTAACTCTAAATATCAAGCAGAGCAGGAAAAATAATAGCATACCGTCTGGCAAGAAGAACCGGAGGGACGGAAGACCAAAAGGGAAGAAAACGCCTTCCGATTCGAGCTTCCTCAAGGATTCGATGTCATTCTGCTGCAAATGGTGCGAGGTCTGATGCTTGGAGACTGAAGGAAATAGCATCGGAGTGACTTCAACGCCATGGCCATGGGACAGAGTTTGGTGACTCCAAATCCTGTGGCTCTGTTGCGTGGAATTTAACCGCAACCGATTTATGAAAGAATTTCCAATTCGAATCAGAAGCTTGGACGCCATTATCAAATGTACGAGCTCACTAAACCCTAGGGGAGAGATCTCAGAGGGGGGGTCTCTTCTACCGTTTTTTCGTTTTTAATTCAAGTGCCGACCAAGGTTCGGTTTCTGTAAAACCTTCGGCCCGATTTCTATGAACCTACGGTCCAGTCCGACCACGGTTCGGTTTCATTTCTAAATTGACGGAGCGACCGTAAGTTATCACTCCTCGAATGTAATTTGACATTTTTAATTTGCTCGCTCACAAATCCAACTGCTTATCAAGAAAGTCTATTTATTTAGAGTGGTAACTTCGGTAATAAAATAATAATTTAATGATGCATGATATCAATTTTTATTGGTAAATTTGAATATATTTTTAAGTATAATCATAGGTGTTATCCTCATACCACATAGAACTTGATTGATAATCTGTAATAGGGGTTATTTGTTCATCGATTTCTTTTAGGAGCCGATGATTATTCATCTGCTTCTCACGTTCTCTGAATAGTTGTGACATTTAAGAAAAAGAATAGAAAATGAAAGAGAGAAAAATAATGAAGCAATAAAGTCGGAAAGTTGCTAAAAAAGCTATGTGTAACGCTAGAGAAGATTCAATAAAGTTTATAATAAATGACACATATGTTAAAAATAATACAAAATTAAATAAATATCAAACTTACCCAACCACATCAACTTGTGTATTAGTGACATTAACAACTTGTGTATTAGTGACATTAACAAAGTTTAACCCAAAGACCTTTTAGAATTATATTAAATGAGTGTCATTTTCTACCCAAATAAAAATATATCAGACTAATTTTTTAAGTTGTAACTATTGTCAAGGAAGAGTTGTTTAGGCATTTTATAAAATGGCCTATAAAAAAATGTACTAGAAAGTCCAACAAACTATACAAATCGCGATTGCCACCGTAATATTGAATAACAAATAAGAGAAATTATCCAAAGACAATGTTAAAAGAATGTAAAGAATTCGAACACACCATAGATATTACTTGTTTCAAAAAGGAGAATACACATATTTAATTGCGTGGTTGAATTAAACTTGAAGGTGTGGCAATGGCATCATCGTTCATTATTCAAGTTTAGAGGTGAAAATGCGCAATAAGCTTTAATTTTGAACACCCAAACCAGAAATCGAAGAACGTAGCACAGATTAACCAATGCGATCATCCCGAACCAGACGTAAAATGCTATTGAATATCCTATATACGCACTAACATTTGTATAATACACGTCGTTGAGGCTAACCAACCTAGCTCCCAGTAGATATCCAAGTGCTAAGAACGCCACCGCCGCGCCCATGGTTAGTGTCAAAATCCAACTACAAATCTTATTTTTGAGTGGAAATCGACTGATGATCAATAGAATCACGCTCGCTGATGCCAAGAATGACACCGTGTTCATCATTAAGTAAACCAAATGAGCTTCTTGGTACCGGTATGCCATTATCGCACTTCCAGCTGGGAAAATTGTCCCGTCGTTAGGTGTGGGATTATAATGGTGGCTGCTTGATGATGAATTGTATCGAGTGTCTTGTTGCCAAACGCCACCTGGAGGGTTGATTGCGGCTTGAAAAGTGACGGTTGCGATCACCGTCGCCACCAGCATCATTCTGCCTTGCACTTCTTGAAACCATTCCGCTTTGTACTCCTCATCGTTTCTCCATACCTTCCCCCACCTTCTCCCACTCCTCTTTTTGCTGCACAACGATGCAGTTTCTCCTCGTCTTTGCATAATTTTCAGATTCCTGTTTCTTCGTTTGATGATTGATTTTGGAGTAGGTGATGATCTTTTTGTGCCTACAAATTTTGTTTTTACTTCTGGAATCGAGAGTAAGTAACCCACCATCTGCAAAAACAAGTTGGATATAATTGTTATTCCATCCCAAGCTTGAAAAGTCATGGTTGGTCTAAAAACGAATTGACAATAATAGAAATAACATTTCTTCCCATAATAGAAATAAGATATCTTACCTTCCATATCCTTAACATAGCGACAAAAGGAGAATTAGCTATGTCTAACTTTCATTCCTATTTCAAATCTAACTTTCATTCCTATTTCAAGGTGGGATCGTTAACCGAAATTAAAAGGAAAAAAAAAACTCTAATAATTACCCTTACCTCAATTTGTCTTAGCACTATAGATAAATCCAAAATTGTGTTTCCTGCATCATCAATTGCGTTGACAAGGTCTTTGTCACCATTCATCGCAAATGTTTCAACCAGCAACTTCATCGCCTCCAAATGATTATTTTCTACACACAAATGTAGAATAGTTTGACCATTTTTGAGCTTCATCCAAATGGATTGTGGCCTTGCCTTGATAAGCTGTTGCATGATCTTGATCTCCCCACGAATCACTGCACAGTGCAGAGGAATCAGCCCATTGTTATCATAAGCCAAGCAAGCACTTGTGTTCTTCTCCAACAAAGCTTGAATGGTCTCCATGTCTCCATTTTCCGAAGCTAGGTGGAGGGGCGTTCGTTGCGACGCATCGACCTCGGCAGCAAGTTCGGGGTCGTGATCGAGAAGAAGTCGAGTGAATTCAAGATGACCATGCGAAACCGACACGTGCAATGGACTCTCGATGTTTGAGGTAGAGACTAGAACTTTTTGAATGAGACGCGGGTCGTCTTGGATGAGTGTCTTCAAGGTTTGAATGCATCCTATCTTTGACCCCTCGTAGAGCTTTTCCGTATTTTCTTCGACGAACGACATCTCAATTTGAATTTCGTGATTCATCACTAGGGTTAACAAGGAGTTTGCTAGATAGACAGTAAACACCATCCGATATAGTACCTTTTGATGAGAGATATGAACCAGAGGCTTTTAAAAACTATTATTTTCTGAATTATATGAAGTCAGTAAACAAATAGCGAGTCCATGGACATTTGAACCCAAGTATCTCGGAAAAAGCAGAATATTTGATAGAAGAACGAGAAATCTTTTTGAACCATCTATTATGATAGAAAAGCTTTATATCTCCTCCATTGTTCCTCTCTCTTTACTTAGTTGTTGCAGATATATATATACACACATCAAGGAAAGGGCAATAGGTTTGATATAAATGGGTGAAGTTTTTGATAGAACATGATTGAGTTTTCTATCCACTTTTTCAAGTCCAGGTTGACCCATCTCACAACTATTTCTTTCAAAGTTAGAATTAGTCCACATTCATTTATTTCCAAGTTAGAATTAGTCCATTGGCATTATTCATGTGGCTGAATTTTTGTCATGGAAACGAGTAGATTCATAAGCCTGTTCCAATGGAAAACGACTAATATTTATTTTCTTGTAAGCATATATAATTTTTGTGACTAGCATAGTGGCAAGAAAATTCTTCGTGACGTGTCAGATACAACTTTACAATTAATTTGGTTGGTAGAAGATTAGAAAGTGTAATTAATTTCAAATACAACTTTTGTATAGATGCTACTTCATTTTAGTACAACAACATATGGGATGGAGTTCAAACTCACGATCTATTAGTCTGAGATATATTCTAAGAATAAAAACGGTAGCAGGTACAGTAAATAACAGTATTGCCTTAAATGCAGTTAAAATTGAAGATGTCTTATGTATAAGAGAACAATATTCGGAAGGATAATCAACATTACTTGGAAGAAACAAGTAAAATATATGACAAAATAGATTGGGTTCGACAAGCTATGAGTTTTTTTAAGGTGTAATCAAACCTCCCAAATTCCCAATGGCCTTTGGCAAGAAGATATTATTGTTTTACATCCCAATATATACCACTATTCATCGTTTGTTTTATGGTATAAAATAACTTAGATCTTTGCTATTCACTCATCAAAAGCTATTTTGGAAACAAAAGCAAAACAACATCCTCAAGTTTTTGTAGGGAAATTAATGACCTGGATAATTTTTTCGAAATATCCCAACATACACCACAATATGTAAATAAGGAAGAAACTGTAAAACACAAAAATACAAAATTATATTGGTTCACCACCTAAGGGCTACCTCCAGTGCCACCCAATGATGTGGGTAATTCACTAATATTTTCATGAATTTGATTACAATAAACTCTCCCAAAAATATCCCTAGTTCAACAAAAATATCTAGAAGCTAGAGATTTTTGTTGAACTACAATACTTAGGTACAAGAATAAAAAACTCACAAATAATCAAAATACAATTTATCTTGAATAAGATAATTTTGATCTCCCCAACCACTGCCACAAATCAGCTGCCCAAAAAACAGTCCAAAGTCGACTGCTGTTGCCCTTTTAATTTTCAGCTCAAAAACCTAAACAAAAGGAAAAATCCCTTTTATAAAACGTCGTTTAGCGTCTCAACGCTATGACCAACACAGCGTCACCATCCAAAAACGTGCGTCTCTTTTTTTTCTTGAATTTAATTGTAGCACCGCGGAGCCGTGCTTGCCGGGAAATTGGGATTTTTGACCCCTTTCAATAACCACTTTGAACTTTTGACCCCCTTTTGATTTTTACCTCATATTTCTGACCCTTCCCCTTATTTTGCTTTGTAAAATTACCAAGTTACCCTCAATTTAAAAAAAGAAATCAAACCCAGCCCTCCCCTCCTTTCCCTCCCTGTCTCGGTCCTTCCCCTCCCCCATTCACTATCTCGTTGTCCATCCCAGTCTTCATCCCGGTCTCTCCCTCACAACCAGAAAGTTCATCTCCGTCGTTTCTTCTTCGTCTCCCTCACTTCGTCTCTATCAGAGCTTTCCCTCTTTGAGGTAATTTTTCTTTCGCACTCGCGATCTTATTGTGAATGATTTTCTACCTTTTTTTTCTTCGTTCTTTGCGTGGGTGTGAATGATTTCAACCTTCGGCTCTATCTGAAGTAGCCAAGGTTATTATGAAGTTTGATTTATTGTTGCTTCCATTGTTTTGTTTTAATTTTTGACTTTCAGGGTTCCATCTCGGCTTTAAGCCCGGTGGATTTAGGACCGGGATGAAACCTTGAAAGTCCATTCCAGAAGGATGGACATTCTGGATTCCATCTCGAGCCTCATCCCGGTTCGAAATGTAGGTGTACGTTGTAGAATTAGAACAAAAGGAAATAAACTTTTATTAGGAATAAAAAACTAGAAAGCAGTGTAGGTGTCATCGTAGAATTAGAACAAAAAGGAAAGAAACTTTTATTAGGAAGAAAAAACTAGAAAGCATTGTAGGGATCATCGTATAATTAGAACAAGGGAAAGAAACTTTTATTAGGAAGAAAAAACTGGAAAGCAATGTAGGGATCATCGTATAATTAGAACAAAAAGAAAAGAAACTTTTTTTAGTAAGAAAAAATTTGACATTCTTTGGGAGAAGGGTTTTTCACACTCTCCTTACTTTCTTCACTTGCATAATATATGGAAACGTATCTCCCATCATTTGTAGGGAGAAGGATCCTTGGAGTCCAAAGTAAATAAATTTTTCTAGACCCCTCTATAAGGTATCCTACAATACTTCTTAATCTATCTTTATCTAAAGAAATTCTCTAAAATATGGTGGAACCAACCTAAAGGAAAAAGCTAAGGTATGTCTAGAGCCTTTTTCTTTGAATATAATACTCATTTACAATCTTCAAGAACGGTCCAGAAAGACTAATACTTTTGAGAGAGAGACGTGGAAACTTCGCAGAAACTTTCTAGATAGTTGGTGTTTATTTTAACACTTCGTTTCTAAGAAAATCACATGATATTAAGAGGAATTTTCTTATGATTATGATTGTTTTGTTGCAGCTGGTTTGGCTGATTTTAACCATTTCGAGGACAATTGCTTATCAATTTACTCTTTTCCATTCCACCAACAAGCAAAGTCAAAGTTTGACCTTGGAAAAAAATGGTTTTGAGGGGTCAACATGTACTATGCTTTACAAATCACAACAATATATACATACCACAAAAGCTTCCTCATTTATATTTTCCCTTTCCATAGTATGCAAGCAAGAGAGTGTAATTAAGACAGAGAGGAATGGTGGAAAATCACAAGATCCAACACCGTCTTTCAATTCTCCATATGCATGAAACAACCAAGGTTAGAATTGTGATGTCATGGAATGTGTGGAGGAAGAATCTGAAGTACAAAGGGAACTGGGTTCGAGAAGTACAAGGCGCAATGACGCTGGTGGCTACGGTGATCGCGACCGTGACGTTTCATGCTGCAAGGTGAAATTCAAACAACATGTATTATTATCCCAAATATTGTGGCAAGGTGACAATTTTCCCAGCGCTGGAACTGCGATAATGGCATACCAGCAACCTGAAGCTTACTTGTTTTACTTGAAGATGAACACAGTGTCATTCCTGGCATCATTGAGCGTGATTGTGTTGATCATCAGCCAGTTTCCGCTCAAAAATAAGATTTGTAGTTGGGTGTTGGCATTGGCCATGTGCACGGCGGTGGCGTTCTTAGCATTTGGGTATCTACTAGGAGTTCAAATGGTTAGCCTCAACTCATTTTCCGAAGGTATTACTCCAACCTAAGATGTGCAATAGCTAGCATAACTTAGTGGTTGAATGTTAAAATAATACTTTAGTTTCATTTGCAAAGCGAACATAACTCAGTGATAATTAGTTGTGAGTTTGATCCCCTACCCATATGTTGTACGAAAAAAAAACACTTAGTTTCATTCAGAAGTTGAATTAAATTCAATTTGAGAAAAGAGAAAATAAGGGCAATATGCTCCATATTAGAGAATAAAATTTGGAATATATGAATTAATAGAGACATGTTCTCATTGGTATGAGGTTGTTTGTACAGAATAGAAAACAAAATTATATGGGAGCATAGCTTCTTCATTTAGGAAGTGTATATATATACATATTATTTATTAGGCGGCCTCTTAAACCGATCTAAACGTCGTCCCCAAAGACGATGCAATGCCAAGTTGGGGGGGGACTTAACTGATTTGTCTAACAACTAATGATTTCGAGAGCAAAATAAAATCTTGATCTTGACAGACTACACCCAAAGCTCATCATCATTGCTCCAAAATTATACCAAATAATGCCTAAACAGATAAGTTGACAATATTTAATCATTCGAACACAGCTGAAGCAGCAATTGGATAAAACACGAGTAGACAAATCCACGACAAGAGAACAGGGGAGTAAAAGTTGTGATTTCAATTTTCAACGTAATGCCCCTTGGCCCAACCCTTTCAATTATTGCACACCGAAAAATCAGAATCGATATGATATTTCAATTATTGTCAGTTTACATTAAAGAGCCTACGATGTTGCATATTGAACACATAAGTATAATATAGCAAACAAACCAAACCAAACCCCCAAACATTAACTGTTGATTGATAAATAAATAGAGAATCAGGAAACAATGTGATGCGAATGCGATTGAGAAATTTCAAAGCTATCAAATTCATGGGATGAGTAAAA